CATCCCCACTGGCTGTAGAGGCGTGGTTGAGCTATTGGCTGACCTTCCTGGCTGAGTTTAGGTGCACCTGTGTGATGTCACATCACCAGTGTCTAGGCATTTGCCCAGAGGTGTTTGAAGGATGCCTGGCTTCACCACACCCCCTTTATTGTGGCCCTGCCAGGCAATTTCTGCGAGTGCAGGCATTTGGGGGAGAAAACCCCCCTTTATCCCTATTCTAGAGACCTGTCAAGAGGAGGAGTCCACAGAACCGAAAGAGTGCCTGAACTGAAAAAGGAAAAAGAGGTGTGTGTGTGTGTGTGTGTGAGAGAGAGAGAGAGAGAGAGAGGGAGAGAGAGAGAGAGAGAGGACACTGAAAAGAGGGATCCTGCCCTCCGAAGAGTGGCCTGCCCTTACTCTGTGCTATTTGTCTCCTCCTATGCCCAATGAGGGGAGGGAGGATGGCACAGAGGAGCATGTTTGAGGGTAGTGGCCTTTCTGAGTGGCTGAGTTCAGGAGCATGTGTGATGTGATGTTGCTGGTGCCTAGTGTGCACACCCAGGTTGAACTTCACCTGCGCCTAGTTGACCTTGGAGCATGCCCAGCTTTGGATTGCCCCCATAGGTGTGCCTGACTTGTTTCAAACCTCCTTATTAGGGCATGGACAGCTAATCTTCATTTAGCATAGGCATTGGTTGGAGACAAGCCCCTCTATCCCTATCTTTCTACCTATTATCCTCTAGTTGATGCTGACTCATAGTGACCCTACAGGACAGGAGAGAACTGCTCACGTGGGTTTTCGAGGCTGGACGTTTTTACAGGAGTGGCAAGCCTTGTCTTTTTCAGAGCAGCTGGTGGTTTTAGACTGTTGACCTCGGCACCTAGCAGCATAGTGTCTGTGTAATGTGTGTGGCGTATGCAACAAAGTCTGGCCTGGTAAGAATGGCAGTTAGGAATAATAATAATAATAAGGAGAAGGAGAATGGCAGTTAGGACTGTCACAGTCTCCTCTGCCCGGCTCTCATCACCTTCTCCCATTGCAGCCCTCTGTCCCATCTGTAGCCGTCGGCAGTACACACATGCTGTAAAATGCTCTGACATTTCCTAGCCTTCTTACCTTTATCCGTGTTATGTTTTGCCCCTTTGCCTTTTCTCCTCAGTTGAGATTGTGCTCAGCAGCTGAAATGTCACCCCCGGTGTGGCCTCTTTCCCACCCTCTTCCTGTCCCTGGTGAATGGGATTTTCTATCTTCA